AAAGTTTAGGCAACAGCTGTGAAGATAATGAGATTCATTATGACGCCCATTCTCGTTGACTTTTATCTACTTTTGAAGACCTACAATGTCTCCAATGTTTTGGTTTTGTCGGTTTTGTTCTTTACTGTTTTGTTCAATTGTATTATAACTAACGATATAGGCAATTCTATTAGAGATAATGGGAGGCATTATGGTAACCATTGTTGATCACCTTGTATTATGTTCTTACATTATCTATTATGTCCACCCTTTTGATTTGACCGACTCTGTTCTGTTATGTCACATTTGGTTCTACTCTCTTCCAAAAAAGTAATAAGAACTGTGGGAGCAATAAAACCCAAAATGTGTAATAGTCATTGTACAAAAGAGAGGAAAAGAAAGTGCTCTAAACTATATAACTGCATGCATATTTAAGTGTATAAGATAGAAAATGATATCACTGAGTTTCATTGGGTCATTGAACAGAACTGTTTGCAGTATCATTGTTGGAATGTCCACTGTACAAGCTTTAATTTTGTGACTTGAACAATTATTTCTAAGATGACAATATGTAATCCATTAACTAGTGATTTCCTACTGTTTATTTTTTTCTGTAAATCTGTATAACTTGTACCCTTTCTCTGCTTTTTTTTTCTCCTTAAATAAAATTTTAAAAAAAGTATGAAAAGGAAAAAATGAAAAAACAGACACAGGCATGTCCAACTGGTCTTGGTGGGCATCCTTAGCAGGCTTTCTTGGCAAGCTTTTAGTTAAAATTTTAATTTACCTCTCAGAAGGAGATCGTCTACATATTGGAAGAGGGTATACTGATAGTCTAAACTAGAGAAACTGGTGATATCAGCTGCAAGAGCCTTTCCAAATGGGATAGGTGAATTCTTGAATCCTTCAGGCAGTCAGGTCTCAGTCATTTGAGTTTTGAGTCCACAGTGACATCTTCCCATTCAAAAGTGAAAAGAGGTAAGCTGGTGGGAGCCAATTGGAGGCAGAGAAATAGACTAATGGACTGAGGGTGACAGAAAACTGAGGAGGGTGTAAGGATTTGGAATGTCAGGGTGTAGGCTAACCATGGTAGCATTGAGAGCTTGGAGATCCTAAATGAGATGATAATTCTCCATTCAGTTTCTTGACAAGCAAAAGGAGACTATTTCAGATGATTGGAATTCTGTTTGGATTCTATAACTCTAGAATCTCTGAATGTGACACTAAGTTTCCAACTTGGCTTCCTGATACACAGAGTATTAACTGATATGAGTAGGGGGTCTACGAATTTCATAAACAGGGATGGGTGATTGATGGCCAGTCCAGGAAGAGAGTCATCAGTCCAAACCTGAGCAAAGAGGGCTTGGAGAATTTCTAGATTTGTTTCATATTATACATTCATCAGTCTCCATTCTTCCTTTCATGGAACTGATGGCAAGCAGAAAGTGTGGCTGTGGCGCTGAGGACAGGGAAGTGGGTTGTTCTACAGAGAAGGTAAGGGTGGCTGCCAATCTGGGATTGGACTGTGTGCTCTCAGCAATCCAGAGGATAAAGCCTAGTCTGAACTCACCAGGCTGATGAAAGGATTGTCTTTTGGCTCTGGTTAAAATCTTTGTGGGTCCTTTTCTTTTAATCTAAGTGGGCATTCATTTTTCTAGTGTCCATAACCTTTATATTTTGTACATTCATCTTTGCTCAGGAGGTTTGCCAGTTTGAAGAAGTTCAGGTTTGTTATGATTGATACACTGTGTCAACTTGAGAAGTTTAAGAGACTCAGCAGGGAGCCAGGATCCTTACTTTGTAAATAGCCTCATCTTGTGCAAGAGGAGGGTACAGAGATTTTGTGAGTACTACACCCACCTGGGGTGGGGGAGGTGGCCTATGTACAATATTAGGGAGGAAAAGAGGCTTGTTTCCCCCTTTCGCTCTGGCTGCTGCTTTGAAGTGTTGCCCCAGTGCCATGCCACCCTGCCTTGGAGCCAGCTGATTATGGACTGAAATCTCCATAGATATCATCTTCCTTCATTTTGAGTGTCAGCAATATTCTGTCCCAGCAACAAGAGAAAAGTAACTAAGATAAGATTCTAACAGGGACAGGTTTGCCTGAGTTCTGGTGGCTCACCAGGAGGTTGCTGAATTCTTTTGAGAGAGTAACTGGGTTGGGACAGGTCTTCCTAAGGCCACAGTGAGGGGGGGGACCTTTTGTTTAGCTCGACAATAGGCTTTACATTATTGTTCTCATTGTTCTTCTTGTTCCCAATTCCCATAGCCAAAGCTGTCCACCTTCTGGATTTTTCTGCAGATAGCAGGGATGGCTTGTGTACCAGAACTGCATTTATCATCTATAGATTTGCTTCAGCCTCAGAGTTAAAGAGGGTGCAAACCCTGTAGGTTTCACAGTCCCTCACAGAAATCAGGCTCTTGGATAACAGCAGTGACTTTTTTTTTTTATCGGTACCAGGGATTGAACTCACGACTGCCTGCTTGCAAGGCAGGCGCTTATGCCACTGAGCTAAATCTCCAGCCCCACAGCAGTGACTTTTGACATACTGACATGATTTTTTCTCCCCTCCTTGAGGCCTTTAAGGAGAGCCTATCAGTATCTTTAAATGGCCTCATTTCCTTCCCGTATGGCAGTCCCAGGTAGATCAGTCCTTTGGAAAGGCTGAAGTGACTACCCATCAGGATTAACAGTAAGAGCAGGGCCCCTCCCCCCCTTTAATTAGTTTTTTGCTCTGTTAGGATAAGGTGACATTCTTCAGTGTTGAACAGGGTCAGAAGGAGTTTTTGACAATCATTCTAAGAGGGCTAATGAGTTTGGAAAATGGACATTAGCAGATTGATCACATCTTGTGGTTTTTCCAAGTAGGAGGGAATAAAGAGTTTCCAGTTGAGGTCAGCTGTACTAAAGGGCCAGCCATTGAGAAAAAGATAGAGAGTGGAGCCCTCTGCACCTTTACAAGGTATCATCTGGCCAAGATAGGTGTGCAAGGGCAGCTGTAAGGTAGAGGGCTGCAGAGGGAGGCCCTCCATGGCCAAAAACGAGCAATGACTGATTGGACTCCTGGAGCTAGGAAAAATGAAGCAGGGTGAGGTGGGAAGACTGAGAAAAGAGTCATCAGGTGTCAGTGGAGGACTGGGAGGTTTAGGCACCTCAGTGGGAAGGGGTATGGCTGTTCATGGTGGCTGATAAAGTAGTGACAGATCCAAACTTGAGGGGTACTTATAGAAGATGGCCATTCCCTTTAAAGGCCCTATAGGTAAACTGGTGGGTGCCTTTTTGTTAATAGGGACGTGAGACTTCATCAGGCTTCTTCAAGTTGTTTGATTGGCACAAGGTGTAGAAATGGGAGCCAAGGTGTGAGATTCAGAGCCAAATTTAGCTAGGAATAGATGTAGGGAAATTGGTCCAGATGACCTTTGTATCCTGTCGCCATCAACAGAGAAGCCAGGAGGCATTCTAGGACCCTGGGTTTTAGTCTGACTGGATCCCATTCTGACTCCCCATGTTATATTGTATACTCTTGTTCAGAGACGCAACAAAGGAAGGGTGCTGCTGTTGTATCAGAGGACCACTCAGATACTTGCCTGGGTGCAAGTATCTGAGGACAAAGGTCTGTCTTGGCAACAGGTACACTGTGATCTTGGGCCTGGTCAGTGACCTCTATTATAGGGGTGTGAGTCACTCCTAAGCCTGCAGGACAAGCCCACTCAGACTCCATAGCTGAAGCTAGGGAGGCAGTCACAAACACCTGAAGCAGCTGAGTTCACCAGGGGTTCCATAATCCATTCAGAGGTTAAAACATACTGCCATGCACCCAAAAAGTTGGAATGACTTGGGGATGATCAAGCTCTTCTGTCTGTTGGAATGGGCCTGATTACCAGAAGAAACCAGAACGGTCTTACCTGATTCAGAAGTCCAGACAGTTTTATTTCCCTCTCCTTTAGAACTGGCAATGGAAGCAAGGGTGCCCCAGTTGGCGTCTTGGAAGCTGCAGAGGAAACCTCAGAAGTTAGATGGGTGCGGAGTGGGGGAGTCCTGCCTCCACAACCCACAGCAAGGGCCATGCAGAGCTGTAGCTGTCTTCTCTCACTTCCCAGTGAATACACCAGAATGTTGCGGGAAAATTGAGTGGACAGAAGCCAGGAGCTCAGGAGAAAAAAGAACCTTTAATGCCGGTAAACCCAGAGCAGTGGTCTCCAAAGTCTGGACCCCATTTACAAAATGTCTTGGTCTTTATAGGGCGGCAAGTGAGAAGTCACTGAGATACGCGTAACTTAAGGCCAAGATACATTGGGTAACTTGTGGCAACCACTGCTGCTAGTAGCAAAGTTATTAGAACATTCATAGAAATTTCAATTTGATAATGAATTCTGTGGTTTAGCCAGGTTCAGTGGCAGAGAACACAATGGTTGTACCTATACTGGGCAAAATGGCTGCAGTTAGGTCAGGATTTGTTTTACTATCTATCCACACATTTGGATACCGATCTGAGAAGGTTTCGGAAGTACTGGTGACAGTTCCTATGCTGTGAGAGGAGAAAGTGAAACAAAAAGTTAAGATACAGTTTTGTGAGTTAGCGGTGCCTGAAGCACTGGTCGGCGAAGGAGGCAATGGCCAGCAAAGCCAAAGCAGGCGCGGTCCACCTAGTAACGACCAGACACGCAGAATCCTCGCCTGGTTCCCCTTCAGCCAGACAGCCGCTGGGGTCCCAAGGTCCGTAATCCACCCCATGGATGCTACAATGTCTTCTCAGTGTCCCATGCTGGACTAAGGAGCCAGTCAGACAGGCTGCTGTTAAAAATATCTCGGCCAGAGACGCTGGAAAAGCCAAAGCAGGAAAAAAATGTTTACATCATTCCTTCAGAAGCCGAGGCCTCTGTTGTCCCTTCCAGTTGCCAGCATAGATAGCCCAGCCTGACTCTGTGGGAAACAGTATTGCTACGGAGTTGTTTCGAAGGGAAGCCTACTAGGAAACTACAGCCAACCACAGGGCGACCCTAGCCGGAAGTGACGCAACTGCGCACAGCACTTCCGGAGCTGCGGGGACTGTTGTGCCGGAGGAAGCAGCGGGGTCCGACCGGCGTCGGCTCGCCGCCTCTGCTATCGCCGAGTCCCAGTCAGACTTCTGTGGCTTGACCTGCGCTGGCCTATCGGGGCTCTGCGGCCGTGAGGTCGCGGTTCCTGGTAAGTACGCGACATGGGTCGAGGCCTTGTTTACCCTGACTGGCCGTTGGCGCTGCGCGCGCGCGCGCGGGGGGGGTGCTCTCCGCGCGCCTTCCCGGTCGGGCCCGGGCTCCGCCTCCGACTCCCGGTCAGGCCCGAGCACCGCCTCCTCCCTGCCGTCCGGACACGCTCTGAGCTTCCTCCACCGCTTATGAGGGGTTGCGGGAGGCCTGGGCACCGGTTGGTGGACTCCATGAGTCTCCTTGGCATCTCCCGTCTCGCCCCTTCTTCATTCCCGGAGAGGTCGGAGGCCAGCGCTGCTGACCCGCAGGCGCTGGCACTTCTGGGCCCGACCGACCGACCGACGCCCCGGGAAGATGCGGCCGCCGGGCTGGCCGCGAGTCCCCTTTGGGGTTTCCCAATGCTACCGCATCGAGGAGCAGGTCCCGGGCCGCGGCTCTAGAGCCACCGGCGGCCCAGCTGCGCCCGTCCTCCCTGCTCGCCGTCGGCGTCAGCTCCGCTACACTCTGCTCGGGCACTGCGCTTAGTGCCTGATAGTCTCTGCGTCCCGCGGGACAAGTGCTCTGTGCCTTTGCCACACGTGGCTATGGAGTTTGACATATAATGCGATTGAGAAAGTAAACTTTTAAATTTCATTTAATTTTGAAGTTCAGTGAAGTTTAACAGCATGTTGCTAGTGGCTACTGACCTAGGACAGATAAAAAGTGAAGAGTTTAGAAACTTAAGTCATTGAATCATTTTTTTTTATTACATAAATTAACCCATAACCCATTTATGGTAGACTAGGGATGTCTCAAACAGTAGATCTTCTACTGGTCTTTCAGTTCCTTCAGTTTTCTGATGGCTGACTTGACTGACTGCAGAAGTGGTGTTGTAGGTCCAGGCACCACCAGCCACTGCCTTCATGTAGGAACCACAGTGCCAGATCTCTACAGCCCGTCTCTTCATTTTGGTCTTTCCACAGAAGGAGAAGGTGTACTTGATGTGCTGGCTGATTTCAGTTTTCTTCACCATTTTCTGGAGGGAGGCACCATAGCAGGTCCCATGTTTACCGACAATGCTGACCTGCTTGGTGCGTTTGGCCATGTCGACTCAACTTAGGCCCAGACCCAGAGAGGACTGAATCAATTTTGTGGCATGTAGTTTTCTTCAGCGATATTACTGATTGATCATTCCTAAATATGATATACAAGAGACTTGCCAAAGTTTTGTTGTCATCAATAGTGAGTGTTCTGGGAGTTAATCCAGGGCCATTACACTGAGCTACATCTTCAATCTTTTTTTTTTTTTTGTCTTTTTGAGACAGGCTTGCTAAGTGGTTCAGGCAGGATTTGGGCTCACTTTGTGGCCCAGGGTGGTGTCAGATCTCCAATGATCTTCCTGCCTCAGCCTCCCCAGTGCTGGGATTACAAGGAGTGCACCACCATGCCCGATCATTTATTGGTTTTTTTTTTTTGAGGCAGGATGGTGTTATGTCGTTCAGGGTGTCCTTGAACTCACTGTGTAGCCCAGGCTGGCCTCAAACTCATGATCCTCCTGCTTCAGCCTCCTGAGTGCTGGGATTACCTGCAAGCACCACCATACCTGGTGGGGCATCCATTTCTGTCACTGATACCCCAGGTAAAATTATTGTTAACTGTTTACTTTGTATGTATGTAATAATAAATAATTTTATAAATAAGTAATTTTGAGACAGGGACTCACCATGTAGTTCAGATCAGCTTTGAATTTGATTATGTAGTCCAGGCTGGCCTTGAACTCATGGTGATCCTCCTGCCCCACCCTCCCAAGTGCTGGGATTAAAGGAATGTGCCACCATACCTACCTGTTTACTTTGAAAACTTTATTTTTTTTTAGAAGGCCGTGTAAATCTTTAAATGTAATGATGATGATGACCTATGGATTTCAATTGAGACTTTTAAGAAAAATAGTAGTTACTCTATCTCCTTGTCACTAATTCTTTTATTTTTTTTTTTTATTTATGGTACTGGGACCAGGGTCTCCTACATGCTAGATAAGTGGTCTACCTCCGAGCTACATACTTATTCCATTACTCGCTTATGTTTTTTTGAGACAGGGACTCAGGTGTGTAGCCCATGCTCAAACTCACAGCAATTTTCATGTCTCAATTTCCATGGTGGTGAGATGACAGGCATGCACCACCATGTCAGGCTAAATCTTTGTTTTTTAAAAAATATATTTATAGCTGGACATGGTGGTACACACCTGAAACAGGAGGATGACTTCGAGTTTGGGCTACAAAGTAAGATCAAAGGCAGCCTGAACTGCATAGTGAGATCCTTTTCAAAACACAAATAGCCAGGTGTGGTATATTTACATGTAATCCCAGCATTCAGGAGGCTCAGGCAGGAGGATTGTTGGAGTTTGTGGCCAGCCTGAGCTATGTAGTGAGTTCAAGGCCACATCCTGAACTGCATAGTGAAACCCCATCTCAAAAAGACAAAAACAAACAAAAACTATAGCCAGGGTTGGTTCATGCTTGCAGTCCCAGGGACTTGGGATTCTGAGGCAGAATGATTATAAATTAGAGGCCAGCCAGGACAATTTTGTGAGTCTGACCATGTCTTGGAAGTGCTGGGCACCAGGCATGGTGGCACACATCTGTAATTCTATCACTGGGGTGGTGGAGGAAGGAGGATTACTATGAATTCAAGGCCAGCCTGGATTACATCCTGAGTTCAAGGCCAGTCTGAATTACAGAGCAAGAACCTGTCTCAAACCCCCTCTCTCCCCAACCACCCTCTATTTCTGTGTGAAGGCCCTGGGTTCAATCCCTAGGGGGAAAAAAAGTTACCAGTTTGAAAAATTTAATTATTCTCTTCTTCATTTTAGATGGAAATCATATGACACAGACATTTGGTTGATATCTACCTGAAAGATCTTCAAACATCACAGGTATTTTTAGCTTAAACATTGACTTTTTCTCTAAAGAAGAAAAAATTCCATTATAAAATTGACTGGAGATTAGTTGTGTCCATCACAGAAAATACATTACGAGTTAAATTATACCAGCACTTGGGAGGGAGACATAGGCAAGTTAAGAGGTCAAGGGGAACCTCACATACACAGCCTGAAGGGGACTTTGTCTCAAAAACAAAAAATAACCAGGCCTGGTAGTACACATGTATTCCCAGCACTCTGGGAAACCAAGGGCGGAGGGTTACAAATTTGAGTCCAGTTTGGGCAATTTAGTGACTCAGAGAGATCCTATCTTAAAATAGGAAATAAAAAACGGGAGTTGGGGGCTGGGAATATATTTCAGCGCCGCAACTGCCTGCCCGAGAAGTACAAAGTCATGAATTCTATCCCAGTACCAAAAAAAAACCCAGGGGCAGTCTTGGGATGTGGTCAGTGCACAGGCCTGAGTTTAGTGCTCAGTATCTGGGAGAAAGAGTTAAATTGCAAACATCATTTTGCTGCCCTATAATTTATACATTTTTTAAAAAATTTGAACCTTTATAATTGCCTCATAAACTCACATAGGTTGGTATTTTTTTCTTTTCACTTGCTTTTTCTTCTTTCTTTTGTTTCTAAGCACTGCTAAGGCCTCACAAATGGTAGGTTAGTCCCTATCCCTGAACTACATCCACAGCATACTTCACTACCTTTTTTTTTTTTTTTTTTTGCACTGGGACTCAAACTCAATACCTTGAGCTTGCTGGGCAAGTACTTACGCTGCTGAGCTATATCCTCATACTTTAGTATTTTTATAATATTAAAAAAAAGATTCTGTTGGTGCAGTAATATACACCTGTAATCCCAGCACTTGAGGGATTGAGGCAGGAGGATTGCCAGAAGGTTGAAGCAAGCCTGGACTTCATAGTTTGTCAGCCTGAACTATGTAGTAAGACGCTGGCTCAAAAAAATCAAAAATAAATACATAAATTTGCAATTCTTTAGACTGGTTTTGTTATCATTATGTATTTTTCACACTTAATCTTTGTTTTAGATTATTATTCTCTTCCCATATTGTTGGGGACTGACTCAGGACCGTTTACAGAGCTGCATTCCTAGCCCTTTTTTGTTTTGAGACGTGTTCTGTCTTCATTGGCTGGCTATATTGGCCTCTAACTTTTATTTATTTATTTGGTTGAGGTGGAATATCAGGAATCAAACTTAGAACCTCATGCTTGCCAGGCAGGCACTGTGCCATTGAGCTATTTCCCTGGCCTAGCCTCTTTCAATCTTCCTACTTCAGCCTTCTGAGGAGCTGGATTACAGGTGTGTGCTATAACACGTAGAGTGGTTTGTCTATTTATTTGTTTATTTATCGAGAGAATATGAATTGGACATGTAGCAGTGGCTTGTAATACCTCTAATCCTAGCACTTGGGATGTGAGGCAGGAAGATAGTGAGTTTGTAGATAGCTTAATGGTGGTTTTTTGTGTTTTGTTTTTAATCAATCCCAGGGATCGAACTCACGACCGTGCACCTTGTAAGGCAGGTGCTTATGCTGCTGAGCGAAATCCCCAGCCCTTGTTTTGTCTTTTGAGACAAGATCTCTCTTTGTAATCCAGGCTGGCTTTGAACTTGTGATTGTCCTGCTTAAGCCTCCCAAGTGCTGCGGTTAAAACCATATACCACTTGACCTGGCCTTCATGGTGAATTTAAGGCCAGTTTAGACCGCATTTGAACCCTGTCTGAGAGAGAAAGAAAACTATATAACAAAGACTTTACATCTGCTTGTATATTTAATCTATATTGTGTCTGTAAATTATTTACATAGTATTAAATCCAAATGGGTATTAAGGGGTTTTTTTTGTTTTTGTTTTTGTTTTTTGAGACAGTGTCTCACTGTGTAGTTCAGGCTGGTCTTAAATTCACTGTGTGATCTGTGCTGACTTCAAACTCTCAGCAGTCCTGGCTTAGCCTCTTAGATGCTGGAATTATAGGTGTGCATCATCACACCTGGTGTATTTTAAGATTTCTTTTCTATCATGTCCCCTTCTCTTTCCTTTTAGATTTAAATCCTATTTGCTATTTCCAGCATATCACTTGAAATAGTGCTTGTGGAAACAAGTTAATGTGTACTTGTCAAATCATCCTTGGAATAAAGTTAATATTTGTGACTATATCTTTTTTTTTTTTTTTTTTTGAGACAGGCTTTTGCTATATGTACTATAATTCAGACTGGTCTTAAACTCACTGTGTAGCACAGGCTGGCCTCAAATTTGTAGCATTTCTACCTTACCCTTCCAAGTGTTGGGGTTATAATGCTACTGTGAACAGCTGTATACTTTCTTAACTAGCATTTTCCCTCTTTCTTTTTATTTTTGTTTTTGAGTCAGGGTCTCACTCTGTAATTCACGCTGGTCTCAAAGTCCTAGCTAGCAATCCTCTTTTTTTCCCCCTTTAAGTTTTATTATGTAGTCTAAGCTGGACTTGAACTTGCTATGCAGTTAAGATTAGCCTGAAACTCAAGATTCATTTGCTATCCTGCCATCACCCTGGCTTTAAGTAGTATTCTTAATTCATTTATGTGTAATCAAACGACATTTTGGCAGATATGGTGGGAAGCCTGTAATTCCAGCAGGTTGATGGCCTGAGGCAAGAGGATCTATCACAAGTTCAAAGCCAGCTTGGAAGAATTTGTAATTTAGTGAGATTCTGTCTCAAAATTAAAATAAAATAGGGCTGGGAATGTAACTTAATGTGAAGGCTCAGGGCTTAATCCCCAGTACCACCACCAAAAGAAAGAAACATTTTACTCTATAAAGATTTTTAAATTTTTATTTATTTAATAATTTTGGGGGGTATACTGGGCCTCGAACTTAGGACCTTGAACTTGCCAGGCCAGTGCTATGTTGCTGAGCTATATCCACGGCCCTATAAAGATTTTTTAAATTGAGTTCTAGTGCTTCCCTATAATTCCAGCATTTGGGAGACTTGAGGCAGGAATTTAAGGCCAGCCTAGACAACATCACAAGTGTATGTCACCATGCTCAACAAGCAAAATTTCTGAATTTTGGTTGTAAACCTTTAGATTATCTCCTATGTATACAGCTGTCAGGATGTGCCTTTCCCATAACCCTTAGAGTATAAGACTAATTTTGCCATCAAGGTGTTTAAACGTGGGTCTGTGAAACCCACATTTATTCTTTAGAATATTTTTGTTGATGAATTATCAATTTTAATTTTATTAGTTCATTGTAGTAAACATTGAGTGCTTAACAGGAAAAAAAATAACAAAAATAAAGTACTAAGTGCTAGGATTATTTCCAAAAGATGAAAAATATTTCCAAAAGATGAGAAGTATAAAATAAAAAGCGGTCTTTATTGGCCTTTATTCTGAGAACACGGAGAGAGATGACCCGCACCCCCACTGCTGGCGTCCAGCGATCTCTCCAGCAGACACGTGTCGTGGGGGCATGTAAATAGCCTTGGTTTGGGGTGGAACCTAAGGCGGGCATTAGGGATGTACTGGTAGCCCATTGGTCCTAGGTTTGGCGCCATATGTAAATTTCCTAAGGGCGGGAAGATGGCGTCATAGGTAACTTCCTAGGGGCAGGGGAGGGGCTTCCTGTTTCCGGTTGAGGTTTTCCTGGCTACAGTGTCCTGTCTGGGCCAAAACCCTTTCACTAAGTTTTCAATATTTATTGTGTTTATTTAAAAAATCAAAATTTTCAACATTAACTAATATTTGATGTACAAAGTCTAAAAAAGAACATGAGAAATAGATCGCCATATGAACTACAATGAAAATACTGATAGCACTCTATAAAAAATAATCTTTACTTCATTTATCATACCTAAGGCAGTCTGTACACTTGACAGCAGCACATTCATGCACATTCATCACTTACACTGATAGCACAGGTCTTGGTTTCCTGGCCTTTTTGTAGGACATACTTGACATCTCAGTGGTCTTGCTGTTTTGTCAGGAGGTTCTTATAGTGTTAGATAGTGTGTCATTAACAGGAACATAAAATATCCATAAAATAATTAAACTCTTAATATGTGTTGTGTGTTTAGAATAGACATCAACATTTCCATGTCAGATGTTTACTTTTTTAGGAAACCTAAAAGATAATATCAAAAATAAAAACCTATGTGAACTACAAGGTAAACACAAACTAAAATTACCACAGAAATAAGCTTTGCTTTAACTGTCACACCCAAGGCAGTCTTCACACATGACAACTGCATGTTCCATACACAAGTATCGCTTATACTGATGGTACGTTTTGTTTCCTGTTATTTCTTGTACATGGTTGACGTTTTTGTTTTCTGGTTATCCTAGTATGTCTTCATGATGCTGTGTCTGTCTTTTCATCTGTCAGCTCACCAGTGTGTTCTGCAATTTTTTGTGTAGTTTGCTAGGCAGAAACAGTTGATTTTAACCCTGCTGTAGATGATCTCTTCTGAGCTCCAGTCCCAATCTGCTAAGATTTCTCTGGTATTTCACATTTGTTATTTTCTTTGTAAACTACTGAACCATGTCACATATGTTTAGGATTAAAACACAACCATTGTCAGTGCTTTGTGTTTCAAGTGACATCATAGTTGCTGCATAACTCATCAATAATATCTACTCCACGTTCAGTTTTATTGTCAGAAGTTTCCATCTCACACTTTCATTTTTTCAAGGTTTTCCATCAGTACTTCCATCATGGCAAAATGTTGGTATCAGCAGTATCAGTTTGCTTTTCTTTGCCATATACAAGGCTAATTTTATATCTTTCTGAAATTCAAAGATTGAACAATACTATTCTGTTTCGAAATTGCAACATTTCATTTGGAATCTCTGCTTTGTTCCTGTGTACAATTCCTGTGCTGGTCATCTTGTGCTTTGTTAGCAAATGTAACATCATTTGGCAATGGGTAAACCAGTTGTCGAATGTCACATTCTGATTAGTTTGGGAGATGGGAGCAACAAGTCTTTTCACATCATTTGGTTTATTATATTAATAAGGACTGATGGTTAGGATAAATGTCAAAACTAAAAACATAGTAAGTCTTCATATCTACAGGATTATAAATTTTTATGCCATATTTTGACCCATCACTTTTCCATAAGCCTTCTATTTTCTGTGATCACCATAAGAAGTCTGTATAAAATACAGAAGACCTATGAATGCTTTCAGTTCAGGTAGTGAGATGTCATAATAAACATTTTTGAATATGGCTGTTGGTGGGTACAGAAAGTTTTATAACATTTTGTGTGTTATAGTTTCCAACACTGAATGGCAGTGCTGGCATTCTGTCCAATATGTTTCACTATTGCCATGACCTTTACTGTATTTTTGTCTTTTTTTTTTTCTCCTTTTTATCGGTACCGGGGATCGAACTCACGACTACCTGCTTATAAGGCACGCGCTTATGCTGCTGAGCTAAATCCCCAGCCCCTAAACTTTAAACACTTTTTTTTGTCTTTTTCCTTTTTATCGGTACCAGGGATCAAACTCATGACTGCCTGCTTGCAAGGCAGGCACTTATGCCACTGAGCTAAATCCCCAGCCCCGTTTACTGTATTTTTGGATCTAGTTGTATTTCCATTTGGTTGCCTGGCTATTTTGCAACATTTGACAACTCAAATTGCTGTTTTCTTTTTTTCTTTTTTTTTGTCTTTTTGAGACAGGCTCTTGCTGTGCAATTCAGGCTGGCCTTGAGCTCACTTTGTAGCCCAGGCTAGTTTCGAACTCGAAACAATCCTCCTGCCTCAGCTTCCCGAGTGCTGGGATTACAAGCATGAGCCACCATGCCTGGCTACCATTTTGATTCTTGAATGGTTTCCATCACAGGAAAAAAGTAACACTGTTTTTTTCTTTCTAGAATACAAAAACACTAATGCATTTGACAAAGCAGTGAAGTTAGAGGGAAGAAAAAGCAATTGCTTTCCCGATTTCCAACTTGACTGGATGCAGGATGTCGGTGGACATGAATAGCCAGGGGTCTGACAGCAATGAAGAGGACTATGACCCAAACTGTGAGGAGGAGGAAGAAGAGGATGAGGACCCTGGGGACATAGAGGACTATTATGTGGGAGTAGCCAGTGATGTGGAGCAGCAGGGGGCTGATGCCTTTGATCCAGAGGAGTACCAGTACACTTGCTTGACCTATAAAGAGTCTGAGGGTGCCCTCAATGAGCACATGACCAGCTTAGCTTCTGTCCTAAAGGTGAGTAATATGGTTACAAATATAATTTCTCCAGTTAAATCTAAGGATGAGCTGTTGTTAACAGACCAATTGAATGATCTGGTAGCTTAAAACCAGATTTATATCTTACGTTATTTGGATATTTTGTTAATGGTTGCTTCTTTTCTCATATGTATACATGTTTAAGGTCCTCACTAAGAATTAGAATTAGAAAGATAAATCAGAAGGATATAATAGCAGAATTACATAGTTTTACACTTGTTTCATACACTTGTAAGATAGTAAATCTTACAAATATTTGAGGTGTATATGATAAATATTAGAATCACCATTTTTTACACAACCCTTTTTGACTGGTAAATGTCTTTTAACAGTTCTCCAGATATCCCTGCTTTGCCTTTTGGGGTTATCAACTCATTGGTTTCATACACTGGTGATTACTATATAATGTTAAGAGAGATTTTTAGTAATAAATAAAAAACTAACTTCTTGGGCTAGGGATTTAGCTCAGTGGCATAAGCACTTGCCTGACAAGTACGAGGTTATGAGTTTGATCCCCACTATCTTTTTTTTTTTTTTGTCTTTTTCATTTTTATCGGTACCAGGGATTGAACTCACGACTGCCTGCTTACAAGGCAGGTGCTTATGCCGCTGAGCTAAATCCCCAGCCCCAATCCCCACTATCAAAAAAAAAAAAAAAACCAACTAGTCTCATAGCTTGTATTTAATTGATTTTGTGGATATTTTTATGGAAATTTTAAAGAATGAATAAACTTGGTTATTCCAGTAAGTATTTTACTTTCTTAACACCTGAGCTAGCCTATCTTCAGATGTCTTACACCTCTCAGGCCAATTAATGTCCTATTTACATTTTTTTTTTACAGTTACTTGAACATTTTGCCAGCATGGTTTTTTTTTCTAAGATTGGCTATTATATCAAAGTGGAGACATTTCTCTTATTTACTGTTTGTACTGGATTTCTTTTAAGAACTGTGGGTGAATTTTCTTGTCTGATCTGATCAAATTAAAGGTCAGAACACTTTAGCATGGGTTCAACTGAATAAATTTACATGTGGGTTGATATTTATTTTTAATCTGTTGGTTGATATTAAATGAAAAATACACTATATATAATTTCTGCTTTATCTATTAGTTTAGGGATTTTTTTTTTTTAACTTTTTACCAGTACCGGGGATTAAACTCACAGCTGCCTGCTTGCAAGGCAGGTGCTTATGCTGCTGAGCTAAATCCCCAGCCCCTGATTTTTTTTTTTTTTTTTTTTTTTTGTCCATGGTCAGCAAAAAATAATAACTTCCCATGTATATACTGAGGGCTTTATTAGCAATTAGAAGCTAAAAGCTAAAGCTTTTTTTGTGACTTATTTCTAGAAATGATTGTAAAATACCTTTTTTTGTGCTCAGTAGAAAACTTTTCTACTCTGTGGTTATGGTAAAGCTGCTGGGATTCCCCCACCTAAGGAGGGCATTTCCCCACTAGAGAAGAGGCATCAGCTATCACATATATCTCTCCTTTCTGGTCAACTAATTTCTTTTGTTTTAACCATAGTGTCAGTGTTGGTGCTTAAAATTAGAAAAGGAATTATCAGTTGTGTGTATACACTGTTATTTGATGGAGGTCATTAGGGTGCTCCTTTTATTCGCAGAAATTGACTTCAAGCTCTCTGTGCCAACTTTTTTGACCTATTCAAGCCTGCTGAGGATCACCTGCATCCATCCTTCTTCTCTTTTAAAACCGTGGTATAATACATATAAAATTACCATTTTATGTTCTTGCTTTTTAGGAGGCAGACATGCTGTCAGTCTACTTCAAAGCCTTGCTTTCACCTCCTTATGTTTTTCAGTTCTCAGGGATCCCTCAGAATCTAGCTTATACTTTACCTGATAGTTTCCTTGAGACCTTGTAGGATAGTGATCAAGCCCTTTATTCTGTGACCAAACAATATAATTGTGTATGTTTTGTTTAGATCATATATTGCAATCTACTGCCAACTCTGGGTTTTACCCTTTCATGTATTTTTGTGTAATCTCCATAGTTAAGATTGCTAGGTCTAGCCACTGTTTACATCACAAGTATTTCATCTGCAAGTAGGTATTGAGTACATTTCTTGGGTAATTGGGAATTGTGTTGATTGTTGATAGAAACTTGCTGTTGCTGGTCTGAAATAGATTTTGTAATGCCTGTAGTACATCCTTCTCTATTGTCATGAAAGGGTGTTTTTTGTCCTAAGGACCAAGAAGAAAAGAAGTGAAAAAGAACTTCGATGAGGAGCTAAGAAAAGGTAGAAGATAGTTTAAAAAAAAAAAAGGAAAGAAGAGGTTAAGAGGAAATGAGGCAGAGAGAAAAATAATCCACAAAAATTTAGGTGGAGTGATAGAGGGTGTTTTGTTGGTTTTGTTTTTTACTTTTATTTTTTTTATTTTTATTTTTTTTGTGTGTGTGGTTTTTTTTTTTTTTTTTTTTTTTTTTTGCCTTTTTTCCTTTTTTATCGGTACTGGGGATCTAACTCACAACTGCCTGCTTGCAAGGCAGGCGATTATGCCGTTGAGCTAAATCCCCAGCTCCGTTGGTTTTGTTTTTGAGACAGAGTATTGCTATGTAATGCAGGCTGGTCTTGATCTCACTCTGCAGCCTTCTGGCCTCAAACTCACAGCAGTCCTCCTGCCTCATCCTCCTGAGTGCTGGGACCATAGATAGATATGTGCCGTTGTGCCCAGCTCATTAGTGCTTTGGCAGCATGTTAGGACCTATTTTTTCTGGGAGAAGCAGCAAGGATCATGGCTTGGTGTATCTAAAAGAACTCTGTGGTGTTTCAAGTAAGTCAGGAATTTGACTTAAAAGGCTAGACAGGGGGGCTGGGGATTTAGCTCAGCGGCATAAGCGCCTGCCTTGCAAGTAGGCAGTTGTGAGTTCGATCCCTGGTACTGATAAAAAAGAAAAAGACCAAAAAACAAAAAGGCTAGACAGAAGCAACTTAGCTAGGAATAAAGAAAGTACATACCAGATATGGTGGCATGTACCGGTAATCCTAGCCCTCAGAAGGCCGAGACAGGAGGATTATAAGTTTGAGACAAGCCTAAATTACTTGGTAAAACCCTGTCTTAAATAAATAAACAGAAAGGAGTGAATGACCAGTACTAGAGCTACCTATTGTTCCAGCTTTGTGGGAACACTGAGGCAGCAGGATTGCTTGAACTCAGAAATTTGGGCCAACCTGAGCAATATAGTGAGATCTCTTCCCTTTAGGGAAAGGAAAAAAAGTAAAAGAATAATAATATTATTTTAATTTAATTTAATTTAATTTTTTGCAATGTAGGGAATTAAGCCTAGGGGAACTATATGGTTGAGCTATATTCCCTGCTCTTATTTTTTATTTTGAGGCAGAATCTCACTAAGTTGTTCAGACTGACCTTGAATTTATACTCTTCCTGCCTCACTGCCTCATTCTTCTGAGTAGCTGGGATTATAGGCATGCACCACATGCCCCGTGGTTAATTATGAAAAAATTAATGTTTTTTTCTATTTATTTTTTTCTCCCTCCCCTTTTTTTTTTTTTTAAACTTTTTATCGGTACCAGAGATTGAACTCACGACCGCCTGCTTGCGAGGCAGGTGCTTATGCCGCTGAGCTAAATCCCCAGCCCTGAACTCATGAGCTTGTATTTGCCAGACAGGCATTTACGCCATTGAGCTAAATCCCTGACCCTGAAGTTTATTTATTTATTTTTCAAAATTCTTTTAATTGACACGAACGCACTTGCAAGGCAGGCATTTAAGCCGCTGAGCTAAATCCCCCGCCCCTTGAACTTTAGTTTTTTAAAACACATCTTAAAACGTACTTTAATTCCAGCTAACAGCGCCAGGTACAATGTCTGGGGACACACTCTGGATCCAATGCCATGTGGCGACCATGCATTTACACACTGCTCTAAGAAGGTCCCGAAAGGGGGATTTACCTTCTGGGATTGAGCCAGAGGGGAGAGTTGGCTCCAGAATGGGTGGAGGTAGGCTGGGGAAAAGATGCCATTTCTTGGCAAAGGAGGTCTTCATGACATTGTTTTGGGTGATCTTAAAGAAATGCAAGGGCATTATGATCAGCTCTTGCCTGCACCATGTTACCAACTCCATGAAGGTGATATTGTGCTGCCAGGCACCAGGCGGATCTCCTTGAAGCCAGGGAACCAGTTGAAAAGCATAAGTAACATGAGCTTGTTGGTCTCCTCTGTCAGGTTGGTGAGGAACAAGATGTGATTTGGTAGATTCTCAGAGAGGCTGGGTAGGTGACCTCTGTCCTGGTATAAGCTACTACAGGGGCATGGCCCCGGGAGGAATCTGGCCTGGTGTAAGACCTGGAGGCGGGATCATTCTGGAAAGCAGCATGTAGGGTGGCCGACCCAATGTAGTGCATGATGCAAGGAACCTGTATAATTGGTGGCCTGCCCAGAATGTGGCCCTGGACAGCTCCCACTACAGAGGCTGCCACCCTCACCTGCATGGCCTTAGGTGGCATCTCCTGGCTCTTGTGCTTTTTCGTCTCTACTTGCAGTCTCACTCCACAGAAGTACCCTTCATCTTGGCAATGATACAGGAATTGGTCTTGGCATACTGAAGGCTTATGGGCTTGTTGTAGAATGAGAGGCCTTTCATGGAGCACAGGGTGTTGGTGGCTACCAGCCTCCTTGAAGATGACAAAGGCTTGGTTTCTCATCTTCATGCTCCGAGACAACAGGATATCCAGGATCTGGCCAAACTGGGAGAAAATGGCATACATAGGGACTTATTCAGCTCATCTTTCTTGATCTTTTCATTGAGCTTGTTGATAGAAATAGTGTGTTTGGGGTGGGATTTGGAAACTGTCGTGATAGAGCAACAGTGCCGCAGGTCGAGCAAGGAGTACCAACCAGATTCTTCAGACATTCCTGTGTTGATTTTTACCAAACTCTTACATCTATAGCCCACACCTGGCTTCAATTCACTATAGTTCTGATGTGAATGTGTGTTGAC